GGTTGCATATTTTAGTTGTGATACTTGTGATTATTTGCATAACGTTTGTTGTTCCACTAGACTATAGGTGCCATGAGGGTAGATATCTTGTCTGTTTTGCTCCCCCACTGCTTTCATTGCAGAGCGCTCAGCATACACTAAATGCCCAATGAATATTTGCTGACTAAAATAATACTTTATATGAAGGTCAGTGATAAATGTTATAAGAGGGATCTAGATCAAGAACTGATAAATTCTTAGGACAGAAATATTAATCCAGACAAAAGCTTTTTGTCTGGATTATCTTTTATGGAAGAGAGCCTTGAAAATCAGAAGAGCAGATTAAGCAATTATTGTAATCATGTAGGTGGGAAGTAATGGGGCATAAACAACTAGAATAGAAATAATAATAAGGAGGAGGAGTACAGATATAAAATTGGCAAACAGTGGCCACCAGTGGGCTATGAAGGTCAAGGAGAAGCAAAGTCTAAGAATGTGCCAGGTGACTGGGAATGATGGAGATTGTAGAAGAAAGCAAAGGGCAGCTGCTTTAGGTGCACGAAGGGCAAAGGACCTCAGTTTAGAATGTGTTAAGATCACCTGTTGGAGATGTCAAGTACAATGCGAGCATGAGGATGTGCAGGTTTATGAGACCAATTCAGGGATACAGATTTTTGAGAAATCTACACCTAGTTTTTCCTTGCAGTTAGAAAGGTGGATGAAGTTGTCCAGGGAGATTATATATAGAGAAAAGCAGAGGACCAAGGACAGGTACTTGAGAAATGATGATATTTGGCAGGACTAGTTTTTAAAAGTTCAGGAAGACAGGGAAAGAATGGCATTTTTTTTTTTTTTTTTTTTTGGTGCATAAAACCCTATTAGAGAAGAAATCATCCTATCTCCAATGCTGGGAAGTTCCTTGTGTACCTTGAGAAGATCCTCCAGGTTTCACAGGTGTGAGGATACCAGTTCCTTGGATAAAGGCAGCAGCTACACACTCTCTGGCAGCAAAATGGCTGGAGAACTGAAGGGTTCAGGATTTAGGAGATGGCTACTGGGACTTCAGCCCATGAACACCCCAAAATGACAAGACAGCTCTTGGTTAGCACTCCTGTCTCTAAATTGTGCTGACTTATAAACAGCTGTGACCTCTTTGATTCTCAGTTCAGTCTGACTGGGTCACTGTGGGGAATCCTTTAAAACCAATGAAGCCATAAAGCTTGAGCTTTGTCTATCACTGTTGCTGGAATATTTTGTCTCCAGTCTCCTAAACATCAGTCAGGGAGACTGGAACACCTCACAATTTCTTCTTGTAATCTGAAGCTAAACTCACCCGGGTCTACCATTCTGCCTGGTGAGGGTTCCACTTGCTTATGCATCAAGATATTATGCTAAACTAGCTAAAATAACTAAAAAATATGGGATGACTTTGAAAGGTGAAGAAAAGAGGGTAAAAATACCCTTGCTAAGTCTCCGTTATGCTAATAATAGGTAAGCACCCCCAATGACTAAGAGCTAGTACCTTAGACTAGGTCCTTGAATAAAATAGACAGTCAAAGCTGAAATGAATGAAACGGTGACATATGCATCATGCAGCACATTTTGAGGCTTATGGCAATACATGCGTATTAATGCAAATATGTGCAATGAGTTCTAAGTGCCAAGGACTGTGATAGCCAGTGAAGATAAGATAAGTAAAATAATGGTCAAAAGGTCAAGGAAAAGAACTTATATGAGTTCCTTACTTAAATGCCATATCTTAAGATACTTCAGGTGTGGAGTATTCATTACATAAGCTTATGCTTTGCTAGGCAACAGCCTTGTAGTCTATAGGACATGCTAGGCAGCTCCTTTGGTTGACTGAATTGGTCACATTTGCAAAGTGTACAGCCTATATGTAAGGAACCACTGGGGCTGCCTTGCTCAGAAAGAGGCAGTGAGCAAGGCAGGTACTCAAAGAATCATGGCCAGCCATCTACAGCCTCAAGAGGTATGTGCCAGCCCCAGGAAGTTGACTAATAAAGAAACTGAATTCACTGAGAAAGCTCATTTATTATTACATAGTACAGATGCTCCTTGATTTATAACGGGATTATATCCTAATAAACCCATTGTAAATGGAAAATGCTGTAAAATGCATTTAATACGCTTAACCTACTGAACATGATGGCCTGCCTTAGCTTACCCTTAAAACGTAATCAGAACATTAGCCTACAGTTGGGCAAAACTATCTAATACAAAGTCTATTTCATAACAAAGTGTTGAATATCTCATGTGATTTATTGAATCCTGTACTAAAAATGAAAGACAATGGTTGTATGAATATTAGAAGTATGGCTGCTTGTGAATACGCATTGCTTTCAAATCATCATAAAGTCAAAATGTAAACAAACCATTGTAATTCAAGGAACATCTGTATATATGATATATATAAAACATATTCTGTCATATATAAATATATGTGTGTATATAACATATAATGCAAAAATGTATGCATATTCATATGCATATATATTCATATGCAATGTAACTATGAATATGAATATATAAGTATATAAAGTATATGAATTATATAATAAAATGTAATAATAAAGAAATTTAGTTAACTAAGCAACATATAATGAAGTTAACTGTAAGATTACAAAGAAACAGAAAAACATGTGTTTAATGTTTTATAGTTGTCTAATTTCTGTTGAGACTATGGTCAATACATTTCATAATTCTTTCCCAGAGAAAAACCTATTGTTTTTACATAGACTTCACTTATTAATAACAATCTTATGTGTCGCATTATTGGCCTATTTGTATTGTTTTACTTTTTCTTTTCTTTCTTTCTTTTTTATATGCAAAAGTCTCCATTCTAAGAAGCCAAGTTAGGAAATGCTATAGGATTGGTTATGACTACCAGGAATAAAAATTCATTGAAATTTTTTAAAAATGAAAAATGTTAAACATCACAAATAATGAGAAAATAATACAATAAACCCCCATGTATGCACCCAGCATCAGCAACTGTCAATGTTTTGACAGTCATATTTTATCTATTCTTTCCCCCTTTTTGCTGAGATATGAAAGTGAAATTCTCAGGTACAAAAAAGTCTAGCTATGTTTCTCTCGTGTACAAATTTTCTTTACAGTACGTTTTTCTTTCCATTTCCATAGCCGTTACCCAAATTCTACTGGTGGCCATTGAAATGCCTCTTATGATGGTCCCACCTAGAAAAAAATCTCTTTATTTTTCTACCTGCCTCCAAACAGACAGGAAAATGGTAACTCATGTCATAGTTCACAAATCTCGAGGGATTCTACACATCTGCTTCAGCCAGTCTGTGAACTTTCAGAAAACATGCAAATATTTTACATTTGTTTATTATGTAAGGGGGTTTCAAAGCTTCTATCAGCGCTTTCATAGGGGCCTATTACCTACCAAAGGTTAAGAATCTCTAGCTCTATTATATCTTGAAAGTATTTCAAATACACTTTCTCACTTCCACCCCATTAGTTAATTCTTTTTGTTTGTTTGTTTTTTGTTTTTGAGATAGGGTGTCACTCTGTCACCCAGGCTGGAGTGCAGTGGAGCAAGCATAGCTCACTGCAATCTCAAACCTCTGGGTTCAAGTGATCCTCCTGCCTTAGCCTCCTGAATAGCTGGTGCCATAGGCTTGCACCACCACGCCCAGTTAATGTTTTGTATTTTTTTCAGAAACAAGATCTCACTCTGTTCCACAGACTGGTCTCAAACTCCTGGCCTCAAGCTATCCTCTCATCTCAGCCTCTCAAAATGTTGGAATTACAGGCATGAGCCACCTCACCTAGTCCTTAGCCAATTTTTTAATATATAAATCAGGTACCGGTCACCACTTTCAGGATGCCTTCCCTGATCATGTCACCTATAACTGATTTTCCTCATATTTTCCTGCAAAAGCTAAGTCACTTTCCTGTTTACTACATTCTGTTTAGATCTCAGTAACTGGACAGATATTTATAATGTCCTACTATTTGCTAGGCACTATCCTTTACTTTAGGTGTGCTTTGTCTCCTAATGCACTGTTAGAAGAGGACAAAGAACATCACAGTATCCAATATGTCTTCTGTGTCCAAGGACATAATGTAGTTGTAGCTCCAGTGAATGGAAGCAAGGAACAGCAGTTGCAGTTCTGTAGCTGGCATTCAGCTCAAGAAGAATAAGTAAAACTGGACTCGTGGTGTTTTTTTGTTTGTTTGTTTTCTTTTTGAATGGGAGGCTTTTACAGAAAACGTCAATCAGATTATCCTGGGCATAGTGATAAAATGAAGCCCAAGCAAAGGTTTCCCCCACTCTACCCCACCCAATATACTGTGGCACTAAAAAACCACTCCAGAATCAGAAGTATGCTGATCTCCATCAGCCATCTTAGTAGCACCTGAAATAGACCAGCGTCTATGTGAGAACTGTAGTTGGGTTTCCACAAATAACCTAGACTGGAAAAACAGCTCGACCTGAACTCTGCCCCGTACGCAGGGGATCAGGAGCATGAACCTCTATACAAAGGGCGGCAGAGCGGTTACTAAACGTGCTGATTTTTCATCACTGGGAACGCGCATTTTTAAAGTGAATAGGTCCCTGATGATAACGGAGTTGTTTAATGGGGGGTTGAAGATATTATGTTAGGGACCTGGCAGAATGTAGTTAACGCATTGGGGGGAGGGGAGGTTTGTGTCCAGTTTTAGGCAAAACTTCTCAGTTCCACCCCACCTTCTGATGGGTGCTTTTTTGATGAGGCTTGTTTTGCAAAACTCAACAGTTAAGACATGCTGTGTCGTGGAATGATTTGAAGTATCTAAGCCGTGACACACTACTTAACCCCCCATCTCCAGTTATCCCAATGGACCGACCCCAAGGGGGCATTTCCGCTGAAGTCCAGGGCTGTAAAGTGAGAAGAGCCGCGCTAAAGCTACACGTCGCCGTCATCCCAGGTACTGCGCTGATGCGCTTCGGGCAGACCAGGTGCGCCCCCAGGGGCGTCCTCTCTTACGCAGGACGGGCCACGCGGGAAGAGACCGGCGACGAGGGCGAGGCGGGAGGCAGGAAGGTCACCCTGGTCCCCGGCCGGGCGGGTGCGGCCCAGCCTCTCTTCCTGGGCACGTTCGGGCGGGGCGATCGCAGGGAACTGGGCGGGGAAGCGACCGTCCCTGGCTCCGCCGAGCGCCAGCCCGCTCTTCTTGCCCGGAGGCGCCGCAGGCCTGGGTTCCCGGACATCTGAGCCCGAGTACCGCCTCCCCAAAGGTGAGGGAGTTCCGGGGAGGCGGAGACGGGGGCGGGGGCCGCGGGCGGTCTCCGGGCTGCTGTCGCGGGGCCAGCCCGAAGCCCCCGATCTCCTGGAGCCGCGCACCGCGTGGGGCGCTGGAGTAGGGCGGGCCAAGGTGGCCTGCGGCCTCAGTGGAAGAGAGGCTCGCGAAGCGCCCCAGAGCGGGCCCAAGCGCTGGAGGCCTGGGGGCGCCTCGCCGCAACTTCTCTTTGGAAGCCCAGACACGCGCCCGGGCTCGCGCGCGCGCGCTCCCCCATGGCCACGCGCGCACCCTGCTGCCCGCTCCCCCGCGCACCCTCCGACTATTTTTTCCTCTTCCTTTCATCCTCACACTCTAAAATAGGTCAAGGGGTGGAAGTCACACCTGGTGCAGCCCTAGACCCTCATGCAAAAGCAGCTTTTGCTCCTGGCTGCGGGACAGCGCTGTGACTACTCGCAACGGGAGAGCTGCTGCTCGTCCCCACACTGTGCAGAAAGCGCCGGCTACCCGGGCGCTGACAATGGTCTTCAGAGGGGAGCGGAGAGAAGCCTCTGTTCCTCCCTAGATCCGCCGCCTCGGCGCCCGCCCCGAGGGTGGAGGGGGCGCGACAGGTCGTCTCGCGCGTGTCCCGGAGCCTGCGCCTGGGTCTGCACGGCTGGGTGAGTTCCTGCCGGTCCCCTGTCTTTACAGTGGCCCAGGGTGACCTGTTTACCTTGAAAACTTAGATACGATCAAAACAGGCGAGACTGCCATGCAATAAGGGATTGCGGGATGTGCCTTAGGGTGTAAGATTGGATACATCAGAATTCAGAGATAAAGGGCATGTCCAGTGCATTAAAGGTTAAAATGGATTCGTATTTTTTCATGGAGTGCACGTGTATCATTCCCTGGGGAATTGATTTTTAATTAGTAAGAGTGAGAGAACTAAGATAACGAAGGTAGAAAGTTTTTAAAGCTCAGGATGAAAATACAGTTTAAGAAGGAATGCCAAATTAGAAAGAGAAGGATTTGTATGATATTACTTGCTATGTGTGGGTGTGTGGGGTTTTTGTTTTGTTTTGTTTTGAGACGGAGTCTGTCTCTGTCGCCCAGGCTGGAGTGCAATGGCATGATCTTGGCTCACTGCAACCTCCATCTCCCAGGTTCAAGCAATTCTCCTGTCTCAGCCTCCTGAGTAGCTGGGATTACGGGCGCCAGCCACCACTCTCGGCTAATTTTTGTATTTTTAGAAGAAACGGGTTTCACCACGTTGGTCGGGTTGGTCTTGAACTCCTGACCCCGTGATCTGCTCACCTCGGCCTCCCAAAGTGCTGGGATTACAGGGGAGAACCACTGCACCGGGCCAGGTCATTTTATATTACGTGGGTTCTTTGTGATAAATAATGTGAGCCCACAATGCTCTATGTAGAAAGAAGATAAGGCTGTAAACCTCTACTTGCAGAGCTTTATGATAAGTGGTAGGTATGAATTTAAATGCACATTGAAAATTTAGTGTGGGGAAAGAGCTAAACTATATATCATTTTGAGGTTAAGGTTATTGGTGACATTACAGCTATCCATTGGCAACCATTTAGTTGTTTCAGTAACTAAAAGTACTAATATTCATGTGACATCAGCAAATGGAAGCCTTTATCTTTTTATTTTTTATTTGTTTGTTTATTTATTTATGTTTGAGACAGAGTCTCAACTATCTATTACCCAGGCTGGAGTACAGTGGTGTGATTTTGGCTCACTGCAACCTCTGTCTCCTGATTTCAAGCAATTGTACTGCCTCAGCCTCCCCAGTAGCTAGGATTACCACCATGCCCAGCCAAATTTTTTTTTATTATTATTTTTAGTAGAGATGGCGTTACACCTTGTTGGCCAGGCTGGTCTCAAACTCCTGACCTCGAATTATCCACCTACCTCAGAAGCCTTTATCTTTTAGCTGGTGAATAGTTAACTTGTTTGAAGTTTGAGGAAGGGAGAGTTGAAGGGTTCTCTGTCCTTGATGGCTGGCTGAGAATGCAGGGTAAAGAATTGTCCAGTATTGGTGAGTGGTGTCTTAGCGTTGCTCATAGCTGGAACATCACTTAGGAGAATGTAAGTGGCTCTCAGATGGTCATTGGTTACCTATAACTTTATTTAAAGGAGACCTTTACAAGTTGGGACCCATCTTGTCACTGAGGAAATTGTGCCAAAGAACTACTGCTTTATTAATGCATTTGATCAGATTTGAAAAGGGAGCTCTCTGTATACTCTTTTTCTAACTCACAAGAAATTTTGTTTCTAGAAAGATTCAATTACCGTAATGATGTCTTTGGAAATGTACCTTTTTGCATGTGTATCTTAATATGGATAAAGTTCCAAGGTAGTTCAAAGGTTTTAATAATATTTTGCTTACCAGAGGGATGTGAAATTGGGAATATCCTGTGTGGATAGTTAACTCTGCCGTAAATTGGAAGGTTAATGGGAGTGGGGATCTTCCCAGTAAATTGTAAATCTCTATGTATGTGTATCTTTGACAGACAAATCTTACTGGAGATTACCAGGGCTGTGAAGAAGAGGTATTAACGAGACCTTATAGTATTTCTGATAGGTGGCTATATGGATACTAACATGCATTTCACTTGTAAAGAATTTATGTGTTCCTGTAGAGAACTAGTCTCCAAAATTTGAAACACATTTATGAAGAAGGCTCTATCATTGCTTTGAAGAAGACACAAGCAAGACGTGCTTGGCACTATACAGGCTCATAATGTTGAGGGCAAAATGCAGTGAAATCCTTGTGTTTACTACATGTCAGTGTTCTCATTTGTATTTTTAAACAGGAATTGAGTGAAAGCTCTCATTGCAATTAAGCCCCTGGTATAATGCATTATTGAAATTAGGCTGTCAGCACTTGTCTGTACAGTCTTACATTTTTACTCGTAAATTAGGAATTCTTCCGAAAAGAATGACATGATGAAATCATTAAGATAACTGGAGAATTCATTTAAGGACAGACTGAATAGTGATGCTAAAGGCCAGTTAAATGTCCTTCAGCTTTTGTGATTCACTTCTCTTGATCCCATAAAGAGAGTACATTGCATAGAACTCCTAGCTGCGACATCTACAAAAGGAGTTAACATCATTTGCTTTGGATACTCACGTCTCATCCAGAGAAACTTCTAACCACTCAAAGAAGGCATTTTAAGGGTTTGAACTAGATCACCTGGATTGAAGCCCAGCTCTGAGCCATTTCCTTGTCTGTGAAATGGAGATAATAATATCTCCCCAGGTGGCTGTGGGGAGCAAATGAATAGGTGTAAAATGCACAGTTGACACATTGTGAGCAGTCATAAAGAGGGGTTTATAACAATAAGTAGGAGTATATTGACTTAATATCATCTCCTGGAGGCTGCAGAGAGGTTGCTGCCTAATTGACTCTAGAACTGAATATTTGGGTCACTGGTTCAATCCCCCATCTGGGTATGCTTAGTACACTTCTATAGCATAGAATATAGAATGTGCTCTTGGTAATTAGTGTCCTTTGGGAGATAGAGGCTGTCACACTTGCATCTCCGACACCCTTTGACTCAACTAGGTTGAAGAAGTAAACTGTGGTTGTTTTTGGAGATGATGATGAAGATGGTAGGGGATGAAGGTCACATGAGGGATTTGGTGTATGGTTCTCTTGACACATATGTGTGGTTTTATTCTCTTTGCTTTTCTCTGTTCCCTTCTATCCTCCCTTCTTTTCTCTCTGAGGGTCCCGATGATTATTTCCCAACCTTTGTTTTTATGTCTCCGCATCAAGCCTAGGCCCTAAAGTGTTGTTAGCCCTGATTTGGGTAGTTCTGGAAAGTTCAGCCTGTGAACTTCTTGTTCGTAAAGGCGTAACTGTGGATGTCAAATAAGCACAACCTTTTCCACTTCCACGGTCCTTCTGGGGTGTTACATGCCATCTTGCTGTATTGAAAGTGCTCATTTTTACCTTCTTTTTCTTCTTTGTTAGACTGCAGATGTTGGAAACTATCCTAGCCATTTCAAGCAGAAAGGAGTTGAATATGATAATTAGGTGCTCACAAGAAGGTTGGCAGGGAAGGTTGCAACTGAAAGTAGAGGAGGGGCCTAGCCTTAGCCTTATGTACTGGCTCCAGGCAGCCAGCCTGGCTGGCCCCAGGGTTGCTGCTGTCATTGCCACAGCCTAGGGGCTGGGAATCAGAACCACCATTAGAACTGCTAACATCAAGGACACACCTTTTGGGCTGTGTTACAGTGATCAGAGAGGCTACTGCAAAATGCCTGTCCATCCTAGGAAGCTAGTAACTGAACATTGCTACGAACAACAAAAACAAGGAAGCAAACGTTTTCCTTAGATGCCCTCCACCTTCCTTTTTATCCTGCTCATCTCCCTGGAAGAACCTACACTGTGCCCAGAACCTTAGCTGTAAGGGACTCCAGGAAATGTGGTTTATAGGTTTCTAGCCTCATAGGTAGAGGGTTGCACACTTTAAGGAGACAGGAGTGAATGTTATGTGACAATCCATCATGTCTAACATGTATTTAAAATATATTTCTTCTGAGATTTGGCTAGAATATTTATTTTTAAGGCTGGTAGAGATTGACTTTGGAAAGGTAAGACAAAATGTTGTAAAAAACGTTTTAACGGAGCTAGTTGCTAATCAGTTACCTTTTCAAACAGATGGATATTATAGTTTTGCAGCTGAAATTGCTGGAAAAAGCATCAAGCAAATGAATAACTAAAATTACCAAGCGCCTGCCTCTGCACATGGTACTAATTGAATGTGAAATAATGTTCCTTTGGTTTGGTTTCATAATCAAGGTAAAATATTAGGAAAATTATTTTTTAAAATTATTTTTCCTTCTCAAAGCCATAGATAGCATACCCATTTAATGAACCACAATACAAACAGAGAAAATAATGTCTTAAGAGAGAAATAATAGCACCTGGCTTGCTAGTTCTTTCATTAGATGAATTATCTGTGTATTTGTGTTTTTCCCAAATCTTTCTTT